TCACACCCTTCGGAATCGGACGGCGTATATGTTTGGGTGAAAAGCTGGCGCTCGCGGACCTCTTCTACATAACTGTCCGCCTATTGAAGTCTACTCCAGACTATGTGTTTGCGTTGCCATCGGGTGAAGGAACGGCTGATTTAGAGCCCGACCCTAATATCTTATTTCTTAGAGTTCCCAAACCCTATGAGATAATACTTAGAAAACGATAATTGCAACTAATTATGAATTACTATTAGGTATATCATTATTTGCATTTATAAGTCACATATTTAACCAATTTTTGTATAAATGTTTGTTTGATGCTATACTTTGTGATTTATTTGTACTTGTAAATCTTATGTGGATTAATATTTTTGATTAAAGATTTTAATTCTTTAAAAACTACTTTGCTCTAACATTTTGTTTGTATTTTTAATGTAGTTGAACATTGCATTAATTTAATATAAATAAAAGATTTTATATATAATTTATTACGGTATTAAAAGTAATATAATACAAAATATGTTTATAAATTGTATTTGTGATGAAACTACCAGGACACGTGAGTTAGTTAATGATTAATCGTAGGCATTCCCTAATCAAACGTACTTTTATCACAACTTTATATTATTATTAAATTTATATAATTGAATAATCCGTAAGAGGAAATCAATTCTTAATAATATTTGTAGTTATGCTATATTTTTGCATAACATGTTTAATGAAATTAAATAATAAATAAATTAAATTTATTTGCGTTACTGTTAGAATAGCATGAAAAATGTTTTGTATGTAAATAAGATAAGTATTGTATAATTGTTTGAAAAGGCCTTGGATGAAATTGTTGTCAAACGTGATGCGAGGCCTTTTCTACATCATCGCTGCACTGGTAGTTAAAACCAATCATAACCACTGGATCCCAGACTACTTATATAGATAATTAGAGTTTGTTTATGTTGAACACCAGGTTGAAACTTATAATATTTTTAGCTCTCACTCAATAAAAGTGAATACAATATCGTGTTTTAAAAACATATTAAATTCTGTATATAAAGGTATTCCTCACAACAGTTCAGTTCAATTCACTTTTGGATCTAAAAGTTTTTCGACAGTTTTCAATGTTTTAATTTAAGTGTTCATTGAATAAATTTTGCAACGAAAATGATTGATTTAAGTTATAGCGTAGTGAGCTGGCTAATCACGATTATCATCGCTTTAATCACTGTGTATTTGGTGAGATTTTATTTGCGAGTTCTGTCCCTGCCCAAAGGTCCATTTCCGTTGCCAATATTTGGAAATCTCTTGAGTAACATAATTTTTATAAATTATATTTATAAAAGAACAATATATATAAATCATCTATATAAATATATCTAAATTTATTAAATTATGACTATAAAAAAGTTTTCAGAGGGACAAAAGTCAATCAATTTATAACAATCAATGAATTGCATAAAACCTATGGACCGGTATATACACTATGGTTTGGGTCGTTACCAATGGTTATCATCGCTGACTATGATTTAGTTAAAAAGGCATTCAATTCAAAGAATAATGAATTAATGGGTCGTCCGGTCACTGGTTTTAGTAAAATAATGCTTCAAAACGGAAAGGATGTCGTCTTCACAAGTCATGGACCCGTTTGGGCCAGTCTTAGACGGGTTGCCCACTCAGCGGTCAGGTATTCATGACATTTAAATTAGTTTTACTTGATGATTTAAATAACTATTATAATTTTACTATAATTTTATTTTTTTAAACAAAACTAAAGTTTATGTGGTTTTAAAAACTTAGAAAACTAGCCGTAAGTGAGAAGTTGTCGGATTTGGTGGACGATGTGGTCAATGAAACCGTTGAGACAATCATTAGTAATGAAGGCATCGGTAAACCATTTAATCCCAAGACCTATATCTATATGTCTGTAATAAACATAATCGCGTCGTCAGCTTTTGGCAAACGGTTTGTTTCATAAAAATATATAACATTTTAATAATAATCAAAATTATAATACAGATACTCTTTTGAAGACAAAGAACTCAAGTTTTATGAGGAAAGCTTTGAGCACTTCAGAGCCAACTCTAGTAAATTAGCCCTAACTGACCGAGTTCCTATACTCAAACCATTTTATGCTAATGTGGTCAACAAAACCATACAAACAGTGAAAGGACTGTCGATGAGTGTGAAACAGAAATATTTGGATCGACTGAAAGTGCATTCTTCGGGAGTAATCCATGACTTCTGCGATGCGCTCATTGAAGCCAAAGAGGAGGCCATCGCTGACGAGAAAGAGAGCGCTTCCGCCTTAACTGATGTCAACCTTTCACTGGTTATTATGGATTTATTTTTAGGTTTGACTACTTTTTTATAATAAATAAACTAAAGATTATAATTATAATAAATTCATTGACAGCCGGTGTCGACACAACACAGTATA